GAATTAATTCGTTACGTTTTTAAAGTTAATGTCATTTTGGAAAAAAAAAAAAAAAAAAAAAAAAAAAAAAAACAACAAATGCAATTTCCAATGCTGGACGTTATAAAGAACTTGATATAATTGGCATAGATCCGAGAATACATACACTTGAGTTTGAATACCGTGCGAGAAAGTACTTACATAACAAAATTTATGAATACAGCCCGTGATGTATTACCTCAGGGATAAATCGGTCAACTACCTACACACACATGATTGCTATTTAAGGCAAACAACATAAATGAGCCGCCATTTCACATAACGTAAACGCTAAGGGTTCTCGTCATTACTAACAATTTTATTCGCGACCTACAACTTGGGCCGATTATTACTTCACGCATAAATATATGCTGCCTCCCTATAAAATCATAGGTGTACCATTTTGAGAGATAAATTTTTTGCGATTCTTTTGGTAAAACCATTATGCCGTCACTGCAGCGCTTTGTCGATTTTTCGAAAAAATGAATTTTAAAAGCCTCCTTTGACTTCAGCTTTACATAATCCAGTGGTTTGTGCAGGGAGCGCAATAGGAAGGTGCGCGCTACGCTCTACGGTGGGTGCGGGGAACTGCCCAGTTAAGCCCTTTCAATTTTCACCGTCACCGTTATTTCATGTTGGGGAAAGAATACTTGCTAATACATCCATTATGGGCGGTTTACTTGAATGTGGCGCTGTAATGGCTGTAATTTAGTTGTTGACATTAGGAAGCGAAACCTATCGTTCAGCCAGATTGAACGAGCTCATCGTAGATGATTCCCTTCCGGTGCTCTTACGCAGCCTTAATCTGGCCTTTGGCTTTACTTGCGAAACTATTGCGATATTTTTGCCGCAAAGTTAGATTTCGCTTCATTTCAGCAGCGATTCGCAGATGGGAAATTTGGTTCACTAAATTTTTCAACTGTTAACTCACTACTTTTTATATCCAGCCTCATACAAACCTTACACAAATGGTTCAACTTTCTCAATAAATCCTCGATAAGAGCGCTGCGCATCTTTAACATCCAAGCATGCTAGCGTGAACGAGCAAACTACTTGCGTGCTGTTGGTTTCGATAAAGTAATTTCGCCACGAACGCCGGTCTACGAAGCATTGTCGTCATTTCTCAAGTGACTTAGTAGAATAACTAAATTTTTTTGAAAATTTCTGCTTACAATTTAGAAACTCAACTAATGTGGATTGAATTGACATATATACAATGTCTTTATATCTACCGCCAAAGAGAGGAGGGTATATTCATCTCATATACATGTTCATAGTATATGCATTCTTAATCAGTAGAAAATTCTGAATCAATCTCGGGCATGTCTTCCTTACCGTCTGTAGGTATATCTCCTCCCGCCGAAATCTACATGTAGATGTCGCCACAAAATTTACAAAATCGCCGAATATGTATAAAATGCATAAGATGAACCGCAACCCACTCAATAAATTATCGAAATTTGAATTTATTTTATTTTTTTTTTTTTTGATAAAAAGTGATCGCTTTAAGAGACTATGTCACGAACAAATTGACTCTTCTTAATTTTTTTAGTTATCTATGGAATGCCACTTGCCCTGCTTTTGGCTGGACAGCGTCGGTGTTACTCAAGTTATTCGAGTCTAAAACATATCTATTGAGAAAAACTAAGCTTGTTATCCTCGATTAAAGTCTGCAGTTGCCTTGTTTCATATATGAAAATATTTCAAGTTGAAAAGTTTAAAGCAGACCTAATGAATCCTTTACAAACTTAATACGCTCGTATCTCAATCAGCTCAGCCTTTGCATTAAGACTAATTTCATCGTTTTCAAGCATTTCCTTAATTTCCTTAACTTCAGAGGAATTCAAGCAAAAAAAGTCATGATTTCTTCACACAAAACATATCGAACTAAACCTTCAAAAGGTTGTAGTTTTTATGTTACATATTACATAACATACAAATACCTACTACTACAAAAACTTTGTTTTTTTGTGATAAATTAGAGAAAAAAAAAAAATACTGAAATTATTCGTTGCAAACAATGGAAAAAAAGTGAAATGTATGCAAATAGAAAAATGCTTCATATGGAACGTAGTCCGTTACATGAAACTGGAAAGGGGAGCAGAAGCGTAGATGCTTTTTGCTTAGATGATCAAAAATAAAGCTTTTCTTTCATTTCATTGATTTTCATTCGTTCATTTAGCTTTCCTTTCTTCTTCTTGGTCTTATAGGTTCAGAAGTCGGCACTATCCATTCAATGATCCGAGTATTGGGTAAACGCGATGGACCATTTCTGCACTGTATTAAGCACTTTCTAAAGACTTGGACGTCGGCAGACACTATCGAGGTTTGATCAAATAAAAGCATCCAAAGAAGGTCTTTCTGTATTGATAATTTTAACTTTTTTTCTACTTTACGTAAAGTTATGTGTACATATATATATATGTAGTAACAAGAGCCAATAAGAGCAATACGCATAAAATGCTCCGCTCTCCCATCTTTCTAGATAAAAAAGGAACAAGAAATAACTCCTTCCGTACTCATCACTCGAACGGACAACATTATCAGTGTGTAAAAAGCACCATTTTTTATTGAAATGACTTTCATTGAAATCGCAGTGAAGTAGAAAAAGACAAACATTAGAATCCTAATACGTCAACAGAAACAAGAGAAAACAACAACAGTGACATGAGTTGGAAAGAAAATGCGTGACATAAACTGGTTAAATTTTAAGCGAGCATGACTAAGTGGGAAGAAAGAGGAGAAATAAATCTGTATGCACGAGCACGAAAGGAGCAAAAAACACTGAGTTCGAAGTGAAGAAGTGAAAGAAGCGAAGAATTAAAAGAAGTAGAAAAATGTAGTAAAACAACAATGATGGCAACGAGTAGAAAAATGTGCAACAGTCAACCTACGCAACCCCAAAAAGTGAGCGGAACGTACGGCACGAGTCAACATCCAATAAAAATATTGATAATCAGGCAAAAAAAAAAAAAAGAAGAAAACAATAACCAAGACATGGCGATACGGGGGCTGATAAAGACAGACGTGCACAGACATTGCTAACGCCCCTAGACAACGTAAATGTAGACGTAACGCAAAGTAAATCATCGCGATGACTTGCTGCAAAACCTCTGCCTGGGATACCGATCTAAGGGAGAAGGAGAGGATTTTGTAAAAAGATGACGAATTTATAACGCAAAAGCAAAAGCAAAAAGAAAAAAACAAAAACAAAAACTCTTCGAGTAGGAAAGTAGAGTAAAAATGTATAAATAGATTTTCTCATATATGTATGTAAGTAGATAGTAGTACGGTGTAAACACCTACGAATGCAGCCAATAAAAACAAAAGTTTATTTCATAGGAAGGATTAAAAGTTACAAGAAAGTGCATCTAATAGGAGGTGATAGTAAGAAAGTTCATTATTGTTAGATTTCACTGTATAAGCTGTGCTGTGCTGTGCTGTGCAATGCAAGCTGAAAATTGACGCGCGCTCGCGCGCTCTTGACTTGGGCTAAGATCAACACCATCAACCGTAGACACAATTTGCCTACACGCCATCCACACAACGCAATACTATACAAGCATATGACCAAAAATGACAAACAACAACAACAACAACAACAACTATACACAGGCGATGATCTGCCTACGATCAGTTTAGAAAAATCTTAAACTGTAGCGCTGATCCATAGTAAACAGCACACAATGCTGCCTGCCTCTGAGCGTTGAATTGTTGAATGAAGCAAAACGCAGCGCAGCTTATTTGAAGGTTTGCGCTGATTGAGTAACTCGTGATACTTTGCACGTACAGGAAGAAAAGTTAAAGTAACGCGTTAAAAGAAAAATACACACAAAAAAAAATATATATATATATATATATATATATAATAATAAAAAAAAAAGAAGTCAAAACACTTTTATTACCGGAAAAATCGTTAAATTTATTAATACGCAGATACATCGAAACGAAAAGCTTCGGTCGCAAGGAATTGTAAGAATTGAGATAAAAGTGAAATGCGTGCTTGAAATGATTCATATGCAAATTTTCTAAATAAACATAAATTTCCAAATATATCGACGATCGGAATCACAAATGTCATCGCGACCATATAGACATTCGTTTTTCGTACGTTGTTGCAAACAAATGGCTTAGCGTGTTTCCAATCAAAATTCTGAAATCTTGGTTCTATTAAAAAAGAAAATAAAGTTTTTTGTTTCAAAAATTATAATACCGTCGGATTTAATGTAACGCGTGATTATTATCTCATTGGTAGCCAACAAACAGACAATATTTGAACTTGTCCTGACAGCAGCAGCAACACCCAGTGTTAACAGGCAATTGCTACCGCATTATCGTCCACGTACATCTCTACCTAGCTACGGCTTCAGCTATCCCCTCTCTTAACTGTTACGTAGATATATTCGCGTATACAACAATTGCAACAATAATAACTACTACTAGAGTTCGGTGTTCGGTGTTCGGTGTTCGGTGTAAGTAAGTAAGTGCAGTAAGCGCGTGCTTGTGGTTTTATTGGCTCTTCCCTGAAAAAGTGAAACACCACACACTCTCTGTCATCAGTTTAACTCATGTTCAAAAGTCGTAACATAAAACGCGTAATTGTACTTAACTTCTGTGAGCGAGTGTATGAGCGTCATCTGGTACCAATAAAAAAACTACCAAATCCAATAGTAACAACAACAAATGCTTATATTCATAGCATCATCACCATCGTCATCATCATCATCTTTATTAACTTAGAACAACAACTCTACATGTCTTCTTCTACGTATGGGAATACGTGTACTTTTCCCTGTACGTTTATCTGTTTACGATCGTTTGTTGATTTTCACGTTTCGCTTTTGGTTTTTTTTTTTTTTTTTTTTGTGTGAATTAAGTTCAACCACTAAAATACAAAATAATGTAACTTTGTGCGCGTTCTTCGATAATTAATTATGTTCAACTTTAGTTGATTATTCCTGTGCAATCACTTCGAGTGGTCACACAAACAGACACTCTTGATAACTTTGTTTGAACGTTTCCTGGCGTATCTAAGGGAACGTTTCTTTCCCGTATAAAAAGATCAAGGATATCGCGGACATTGTTTACGTTGCTGCAATATTTACCCACTATTGACGTCATGTACTTAATGTATTTGCCAGGCTAAGAAAATGGGTAAGTACTAACTACATAAGCAACACTTGTACGTAAGTAAATCTAATCTAGATTTTCTTTTTCTCTGGAAACTGTTCTGTGGGTAGAATCTTTAAGCGAGAAATTGTGCTTCAACTGATTCGTCTCCTTCCGACTTTCTAGAGATAAGGTTAACACGCTTTCGACATTTCGTCGAGTGCCTTTGCAAGAAAGAGCAAACGTTTACTCCCTATTTTGTTGCTACAGCAACATATTTTTCATTGAATGGTCTTTTAAAAGGCATCTTATTATCTTCCGATTGACCCTTTACTGCTAATCCGTAAAGAAAAAATCAGTTTTGATCATGGTAATAATGCTGCAGGTAATTCAGTTGCCACTAGGAGAAGACAGGATGCAACATGTCTTATCGTATATGTACTTCTGGCTGAAAAGAGTTGACCTCACTTCGTCTGCACTAAGTTATATGGCTGGCAAAACCGCTTTTATATCGCTAATATCAATGTTCAACAGAAAGATAGAAAGTGCCGTAAGCACTCGAAGAAAGTGCACTTGATGCCGCTTTCTCAATCTGCACGTATGTCTATTTACATATATATGTGCGCAGCAATCAAAGGCAAAGTTGAGAAGCGGATAATTGGTTGGCAGATTCCTATTTGCAGAGGAATCAATTAATTAAAATTTTTGTTGCCAAGCAATTCATAACCACCCCATTAATAACGTCGACAATTTGATGATTTTCGCAACACTCCCTTGACGTCTTTGTTACTTTAATCTTTACTATCCACTCTTCCCCTTTTATTTCATTCAAAAGTTCGATTTTGTCAATTAATCGTTTCATGCTTTCTGTATTTAGTAAATTTCTTCAATGTATTCCGATTAATATTCCGTTTCGAGGTCTCGTGACTTTTCATTTCATTATTGTTACTATTATTATTAATTTAGTGAGAGAAATAAATTCCGAGTCCGAAATTTTAAAGCACTAACATCTAAAACCATCGGCTGTATTGAGATCTCTATCGCATTTGAGATTTGGCCCCTCGACCATTGAGGGGAGATGCTTTACTTTTAATAGCTTTTCGACGCGCTTGGCTTTCCATCTCTTAACAAACTTGCCTCAAATGTTTCGTTCAACAAGTTAAGTGTGGGCACGTTCGTGATATACGCAAAACTACATTTGCAATAATTGAGTTAACAGAGTTTCCTCAACTTAACCTCCATTTTCAGTTAACCAAAAAGAAAAACTTCCAAAATGCTTTTCTGAAGATGATACAAAGGAATTCATTTTCAATTTCGCATGTATTAGCATCCACGAAGACTTCGGCCATTTTAGTGCAAAACGTATTTGGAATAGCGGTCTTCAGGGAAGCTATAAAACAACCTTAGGTTGTGTAGAAAAACCCTTCGTATTACGGATAAGTGCGGTAGACAATGGAATACGAAATGAAAATGAAAGCATTACTACAAGATTTCAGAGGAATTCGTGGCACAATTGGAAAGATTGGAAAAAGTTTGCTATTCCGAAACTCCCCAGCCATTTAAGGGAAGCACAATCAATGAATTGTTCAAGCAATTGATCAATCAATTGAAAATTGCTAAAGACTTACCGCAACAAGCCTTATATTCCATATATATGCTATCCTTACTATTAACTATTATGTGTTTTACTGAGTTCTTTCTCAACTGGATATGAAAATTACTTCGTACAACAAAAAACGTGATTTATAAAAGAGGAACAGAAAGAAAAACTTTGTTCGGGAATCTGACAAACATATATTAGTTCTTCAGTATATTCTCTAGAGTTTTCTTCAAGCGAACCTTTTTCTTCAAAAGCCCAAACACTCAATGCGGGTGACGCGGAAAAATAGTTTTTAGGTTTCAAAGAAATGAGGTCGAGATATAGATGATTTTGATGAATGTGCCAATAAGTCACAACACTTGTAAGTCGTTAACGCACTTTAAAGGCCCTAGATTTCTCGGAACATTAACATTTCATATTCAAGATTTCTTGAGGACCAACATAATATAGTAGGAGCTCTGCAATGCTAATCATTTCATTTTCCCATTACAAGGCCACTTCCATCAGCCAATGCATTGTCTTAAGAGAGACTTTTTCTTTTCTTTTCTAAACCAAGATGCTTGTTCCTTGTTTTGCTGACAATTGACCAGGGGCCTTGGGTTAATGATTTCCCATTGTTTTTTTCGGTGTGAAAGTGATCAATTCGCAAAAAGTTTTTCTCATACCAAAACTTCTGTGTGCTTGTTAGTTATTTTAACTGCTTCGAAACTGAACAAGAGCCGATTCACCCTACGGTTGCTGCAATTCAGAATAATGGACATCAATCCAAGTCTCATCTCTAGGCAAAATATGCTTTATTTCTTTGAGGACGATGTAAACTTGACAATTCAATAGGAAGTAGACCCTGTGTCTATACTGCGATTAATGTAAGTTGTATGCCAGAAGTTCGGTACGTCGAGAGCATATGAATACGAAGATACAAGATTTGGAAGGGTTACGTGGATATGTAGCTGCTTGCTCACAGAAATGTTGCCAAAGTCATTGACACAATGCCAATAACCAAAAATGTTAAAAAAGCTCTGAGTTGAAATTATTGTCAAACCGCATAATAAGGATCAGCATTGGAAACGTTTGTTTCACCCTAAATTCAAGTAAATGGAAGCGTCCCCTAAGTAAGTCAGTTTGTATTGTAGAAATTAAATATCCTTTTTTTTGTAACAACTTCAGCGATCTCCAAGTCTGTGGCGTAAATGAAATGCCGCGAAATAATTTAATAATAAGGGAACAGTTTTAGTGTTTATACCAATCATTCATTCACGAGTTGTTTCTTAAGTTAATGATTAATTAAAATGTATGACGTCATATATTGAAAGAAACAAGAAAACTTTAAAGCTTTTCAAGCATTACACTCATTCTGCACGCGAGTGAAAGCTTAATTGTTTTTTTTTTTTTTGTTTTCATTTACTTCACAAGAAATACACTCCACCTCTGCTTGACTTCAATGAGTGAAGCTTTTCATTGAATAAAAGTTGAATTTTTTCTATTTTTTCTTTGCTTTGCAAATTCATTCATAAACTCTATAGAATGAATTATATATGTGTGTGTATGTATTATCACACACACGCCTAAACATTTTTTATTTTTTTAGTAAAGAAATATGTGCAGGAGACTAAATGCCTCTTTATACTTCAACAAATTTTTATATCGAAATCCTGAAGACAACGCAGCACATCGACATGAGTGTGTGTAAGTGTGTAAGTGTGGATTTCTTTTCTTTTATTCCTAGAATGATTACGTATTATGCTCCATGGAGACCTGTAAGACACAGCCGGGCTTATCCCATCTCAACCCCCCGACCATCATCACACACACACACACACGTGCGCGCACATTTTTCTATTATTTCATATGAGTTCATTCGGTTTCAAAAAACTTTTCCAAAGAAACGGGAAAACAAGCAACACTTTTTTCATCATTATAAAATTATCATTAAATTTTTAGCATCTTGTGTGCTGTTTATATGTGCGTAGGTGTTTTGACATTTGCTACAGAGTATAACTTTTGAACTTAAGCAGCATAAACATAAATGTGTATTTATGTAAAAGTGTTAAAGCAAAACATTCAACAAGTTGCAAAAACGCCAGAACAAATGCCGTATGAACACACGCTCATATATGATAATCGGAGTCTGGGCATTATAAGTGGGATAGGGAGCATTTACGGCAGCGTAGGGAATTGTTATTTTAACATTTACATGCCTTATGACCTTTTCCAACGTATCATACATGCAAGCGAACATACATGCACATACAAATTACTTCGAATTCAGGTTATTCCATTATCGTTTTCTCCTATTGCCGAATGAAAATTTTAAGGTAAACATTGAAGAAGAAAAATAAATAAACACAATCGTTTCAAGTCATATAAATGTCAAAATTTTATTTTACGGTCAAATGTTGAAGGGCAGAACAAAGACTACACAGAGACTATCGCCAAATTTATTTTTTTTTATACTAGAAATTAATGTGACTTGTAACTTTTAATTTACGCCAAAACGGGCGAAAGAGACTAAATGACGCGACAAAGTGAAAGCGCTCTTAGGCCCTTTGTAGTAGATTACTTCGGGAAAATCCTAAGAGGAGAAAGAGGTACATTAGATATGTCTCTCGAAAAAAATGTATTACCGGACCAAACAAGAAAGCAGCTCTTAGCTGATGGGAAAAAACGTTTGGCATGCTACAGTTGCACCTGTCAACCAAAACAAGGGATGTCTCTGCTCTAGGATAGTAAGTTCTTTGTTACAGCGAAATTCACTTGATCTCACCCATCTTCGCAAGGGCTATTAACATATTACTTGAAAGCAAGCAGTCATGGCCAACTAAAATCTCAAAAATTTTGCTATTAAAAGCATATTGTTACGAAAATCATATATTTGATCAGATATGCCTATGTATGAAAACCATCTATTTGCGTTGAAGACGATATTCTCCAAAGTGTAAAGACAGCTATGAACACGAATTCTCTATACTTTCCTCGGCATCGCTATCCATCATCATGGAACAAAGGCTATTTATCGAAGGGCTGATGAAAACATAAAAGAAAAAATAACTAATAAAGGGGGAATTTAGTCTGCAGCAGGATCAATAAAACTATCAGATGAAAATCTAGTAATCGTTGCATGATTTAAAAGCTTATAGCCGAAAAATTAGTTCGTGGCATGAGGGTCGAGCAGTGGCTTTCAAGAGAAGATGGCGGTCAAAGATGCTTCAGCGGACAGCGGCCTGAAGCCGTACGAAGACGTAAACGCCATAGTCTCTGGAGCTCTTTTTTTAAATCCTAACCTACAACATGCATTGCGGGCCTTTTAGGGACATTTAAGTTTAGCCACAGGTTTTTATTTGTACATTTTTTCGCTGCATACTCCGTATGCATTGTGAGAATTGCATTGTTTTTTTTTTTTGTTTTGGTTTGGAGTTATAATGATGTACGGTTAAGCCTAATACGT